CACTTGTTCGTTAATTAGCTTATTTCTATTTTAAAAATTGTCTCTGTAAATATAAAATTCTTCCCAAGCATTCATCCCGTTTCCTTTCCTACAATCCTTAAAATTGCATACGTCATCTTCCATTTTCATGAATGCGTGGCCATTATGTAACAAGTGTTGTGTGACATTAGATCTTTACGGTTGGTTGTTTCACGATGCAGAGACATGGACAAAGGAACGCCATTTAAATTGGGTCTGATGATGATTGGAGTGTCCAATCGAAATCGCTCACCACTTCCCATCCTTCATATGTATTTACCGTCTTGTGAGTTAACAGAATGTGTAAATATATTAATACAAGTGTTATTTGAAATTGTTTTGTACTTTCTGGTATTTTAATTACACGTACGATTCTGATGAAGAAGTTATTTATTTATTAGATACAAGGCGATTCTACTACGTAATAAAATCATGTGTAAAACAAACACCGGTTTATTCAAATTGGTATAATTAGTAGTTAATCTATACTATTCAAACACAACCCTACACAATATACCGCCAATTTATGTGTTATATTTAAGGTAGTGTGTTCAATCACATTCATCCGAAGTCTGCTTCAAAAGCTTTGAGGAATCAGTGAGAGATTATCAAGGATTACACCAGACCACATTTATCACTGAAAGACAGTTGAAGCTTACAGGAGTTTACTGAGTTCCTCAATCAGTTTCACGAGTCTCTGAACCAATAAACCACTATTTGGAAAGTCTTACAATAACATGATTACCAATAAGACTTATAATTTAACTGTAAATGCACTGGGAAATTGTATTTTATTTAAGTCATGCACGGCAAACGACATTTTACAGTAGTGTTGAGTTGAGTTGACATTGGTATAAACTAGTAACTTGATGTGAAATAGATGTGCGTAAGCAATAATTAATACGAGGTGTTAGCCCGTCCTACGTACGGGAAATCAGTAGTCAGTTAAAACCGTGTACAATTCAGATCAGCTAGTTTACACATATAAAGACAAAGTTTCTTGCAGTTTTAATGTGAAAAATCATCTTGTAAACAAATTTTGTGTGACCAAATATTTTTTCATTCCATCATAGGCCTATACGATATGCATTTTAAATCCGATAATTTTACAATAGAACAGCAATTCTGCAATTTTTACGATGTGAAAAGCGTTGAAGGGAGATTTGCAGCCGATTCGGACAGACGCACACTGATTATAAGTAGGCCTACAGTAGAGAGAGTAATAGTCAATTGAGAAGTGTATAGACCTAGTCAACGATACCACCTTCCATAGCATAGGTACCTGCCTCTTCCATAATTATTATCACCACAATACAACTACTATACACAATTTCCAGTAGGTCTGAATGAAACGACCTAAAATAAAACGATAATATCCAATACAATTCACAGTACACATAATTGAACTTTGGTGTCCTAACATCATTAAACGAATCGTCCACACCTATCCTTTATATCAATTTCACTGCATTAATTGCTAAATTTTAATTGCTAAATAAATAAGTAAAACAAAGAAAAGTAAAAACAATAACAGTGTGTTTTGAAATAGCTGTTTGGTTCAAATAACATTCATTTGAAAAAAAAATAACTTGTCAAATTATTTATATGTAGCAGGAATATAAAAAGTAAACACGCTAGTAAAGCTAATGACGTAATTGTCAATGTTTATTATCGATACCGTTATCAGTTCTATCTTTGATAATTATCCACCCTCATTGAATAAATGTACATCGTAATTTACCATATTAGTTCATTTAAACTACAATATATTCATATTTGAAATAAAAGTGATATTTTCACGTTTGGGGGCGCTGATATAGGCACCCCCAACTGAACACGATTTCATAAAAGGATGGTTTGTCTAATTGCAGTATCCTAGGTCAATGTTGACGTTGTGTTCAATCTATGTCATCCGTCTGTTTATCTTTATATAAAACCCGGCTGAGGTTGTGGTGGTAATTTAAAATCGTGATTCCTGATTATTATTGATCTTCTTTTTATGACATCAATATATCCGGGCCTAATCCAAACAAAGTTAAAACAGACAAACATTAATTGTAAACAAAAAGCTACCATGAAGAATTAAAACATGTAAACATTGTTATTTTTCTAATCTTTCCTTGAAAAGTGGAGCAGTAAAATAATTTGCATCTATCCTTTTTTATTAAGACTCGCGTACAGAGCCTCGATTTGTACTGTGATTTAATTAATTTTGGTCTAAACTATTTTAAACTGTGGTCTAATTATCTCTACTAATCTTACTTATTTCCTATAATCAATGACAAAATAAGAGTAAATAAAATAACCTCATAGTTCCATTGTTTATATTTAACCAGCTGTTAGTTAAAACAAATTATATTGGTCTAAAACAAATCGAAGATTACAAAGATTGCTTTAAAAAATAATTTGATCATCCTAGTATTTTACTATGTATATTTAATTAATCTGTCATCCTCTTACAGAAGATTTGAACGTATCAATGATTAGCATTACGCATAGTATAAATTAGTCAATCCTAAGTATGTCTTTACATTTTTATCCAAATGCTGAATTTGTGACACAAAAGCTGAATGTTTACAGCTGTTATGTTAAGCACATTATTTTATGCCAAAAGCTAGTTTAGAATCTTAGCGTCGGCTGCTAGACTTTTTAAAAATTTAAACTTAATTTCTAAAAAACTGGGACCCTAAACTAAAATTATGGCTTCGACATTCCCTAGTTCTCAAAGTTATCTTTCTTTCAACACAAAAATCATGGAAATCCGTCGAGTGGTTGATTCAGAATCGTAAAATAAAAAAACACTGTTTCGTTTTAATATTATAGATTAGGTGAAATAAATTATACAACACTGTTTTGTTGATTAAATATACAAAGATTTAACAGGACGTAACAACAAAAACTACATAATAGACAATTTACAACAAAAATCATATAAATTATTAAAATATAAAAAATGTGGACAATTTATATGTATTTCATCGTATAAATATACTTGTGTCAACGAACTAAAAATTGGTTTTTCACAGCAAAGCATATTGTTTATATTAGGATAAATTTTGTATCTCCTCATTTTATAAAACACAGAGAGCACAAATTTATAAGACCAATGTATGCGGTTATAGCTTACAATAGATAGCTCTTATGACCACGTAAATTATTATTTTTAACCTTTTAGAATAAAGTTCTGAGAGCTATATAATTGTCCAGTATGTGAGGATGGAGTATGGAGAAGTCACCACAACCAAGAGTTATGCGAATTAAATTATACTAGGCAATTAAATTTTAGTTATAACCTTATTTTGTAAACTTTAAGATACTGAAATATTAAAGTTACAGTTTTAAATCCATATTTAGGACGCCACAGAGAGCGGCTAAATGCATTTTTCAAGTGAAGAGACTGGACTCACTAAGTTATTTAATAGAACTGTTTATTTTTTTACGTTTTCCACAAGTACCATATAATAAGACAACGTAGTTCTAAGGAATTGCATTCTTTGTATTTATTTGTGTTAAATAAATGTAATCATTTTTTAATTGCACTACTCCGAGCCCTATATATTGTAGGAAAGGCAAAAGAAGACTGAGATGGGTCGACCATATCTTTTGTGAAAAGGGGTGCTTATTGAAGATGGTAAGGGGAAATCTGAGGGGAAGGGGGCCTATGCCAGTTGGGAGACCAAAGGCCAGGTGGTGGAATAAAGTCTGGAACGTTATGGAAACAATGAAAAATGTAGAGGAAGATTCGGGGGACCGAGAGAACTGGTGACAAAGTATTGGCCACTTGTCCAAGCTCGAGTACAAGTGACCATGGCACTAATTAAGTATGTATTACAAGTAAGTGAGTATGAAAAACTGAAGTTTTGTGTTTTATTTTTCTTTGTTAAACATTTTTCAATGATTCAATTTATATTTCAATTTCGCACGTGAAAATATTAAACAATGAAATAAAGGTCCTTGTCTCTTTAGACATAATTTTATTTTGAAACACGACAAAATCCTAGAAGTTTAGGTCAGTCCATACATTGTAGTGTATTGCAGCCCAGTTAATAAACTTTATTGCGTCAACTAGCAGCAACACATTCTGATCGTGGTCATTTTATTGTTTTCAGATTTCAATACAAAAACCACTGTCATTGTTTAGAGCTGTATACATATTCGCATGCTATTCGTTTTATTAATCTTTCTAAAACATTTCGTATTACATTGATACGTATACTAAAATAGATTATGTTTTCAATGTGTACTTTTTTATTTGAACTTTCAAAATAGTACGATAGTAATTTAATTTTGTCTCTGTACATTCAATACCTATAATCGTTGCCATATAATCTGGAAGGTGTGTATATACCCGTCAAATAATTATTTTCTTATATTTAACGGATAAAATAGGACTTTAATAAGTTTTTTTAGATAACTTTTATTGTTTGTGTCATTACAGTACACAGTCGAATAGTTGTATTTAAACCCAAATGATGTTTTAACAAATAACGTTTTGTCATATCTATGTATTGGTTTGACCGTTGGTATAAATAAATAAATAAATGTTATTAAATGTTAGGTTGCGGTTTATTAAGTTGAGTCAAAATTTATTCAATTGGAAAGAAATAAAATCTCTAGATAATCTCTTGAGATTTGATGAACTACGGTAAACAATGTAACAGAAGGTCTACATATACCCAATATGGTTCAATTGAGGTTATACCCGAAGAAATGGTGGACCGATGACTTAGTCTGTCAACCGATGGGCTAAAAACCAACACAGATCATGTACTTACGTTTGATATTTATGATGAATCACTGGTTGTACCATTTAAGCATAAACGCCTCGAGCTACAAAAAATCAATGCCAAAATCTGCTACTAACGTATTTGTTCACAAATGCTTGTACTTTTTTATATTACTAATTAACCAAAATTCATAGTGCGATTTTAAATAAAAAACTTTACAACAAAATTGATTTAAAATACATTATACGTATTGATTTAATTGTTCCAGTAAAAGTTAAAGAACTGACGAGTGCTGCACGTCTTCCACTCATCAATCCAAAAGTCTATCTGCCCCCTGATGTGATCCATAGCCCTCTGTGGTAGTAGGTTCAGCCACCTCTTAGCTGTCCAGAGCCACGCCCATTCCCCCTCCTCGGGGTCCGGCTGAAGCACCCCCCTCTCCACTGCTTGGTGAAGATGCTTGGTGGGGCATCTTGCACCTCTGACCAGCTTAGAATGGTTGACGACCTTCACGTCTGCTTTCAGATAGCGCTTCTTCATTCCTTCTTCTATAAGTTTCCGTGTGGCTAGGAGCAAATCACCTATTGGAGGCTTACCTGAAATTTTTCACTTATTACTTTTATGACCACTTTTTAGCAATTAGAGGCTTTTAAAATGCCAAGTTATACTGTGCCATACGTCTGCTATTATTATTATCGTTTAGGGTTTGGTGTACTTTTTATATTGTCTTATACAAAAATTCGTATTCATGTCAATTGCCAATTGTGTCTCTTTAAACACCAAGGGTTAAAGAGATTTTTTAGTTATAACGTGTATGGTTTGAAACTAAACATTTAGTTTTCAAATATGTGCTCTCATGATAGGTACACTTAACAGTACTAAATATACGATTTTGTGTTTATTTTTAACTGAAATATTGACCATAAAGAAAATAAAGTTAATCTTCCGTTTATTTGTACAAGATATCTGCTTCTTTGTGATTAATTTAGTTTCAGGTTAATTCGATTATCTAGGGTCAATTTCTTAAAATAGGTGAATGAAAGAAAACAACGAAGATGATAACAGATTGTTAAAGAAGAAGACCCGTGGAAATGTGGCTGCAGTGCCAAGAAAAGCAGCGTTCTACAATTAACTAGTTTCAATTGTCCATGTAATAATAGACAATGCAAATTGATTCAATGATTTTCTAAAATATTCATAACAACTAGATTATATTTTAAATTATTTTGTAGCTAATCGTTGTGTACCATATTAACATCATAGGTAACATTTCCGATTCCATATTTTTCCTGCAAATAATATTATTAACCAACGGAAATAAACTTTTTTTGTCAAGGTTATATTATCGCTGATCATAAAACATAGGTGTGATTAAACTAAAAAAAGTAATAAGGGCCAGTATTACAAATAAAAAATATCGTTATAATAATATGAAAATAGTCTATAAATGTTCAATTCTAAATTTAATAAACATTAAAGAATACGTGTAGTGATAGACAAATAGAATAAATAATAAAGACCGACAGCAGTGCTGTGGTTAGCATATGTTCTGGCGTCCACCGCTAGGAGTGCCGTGTAGTTACGGCACACACCACTGCAGCGTTCCCTGCTGGTAGCAAGGAGCCGACGACGCATCGAACACCAAGCACGCTCTAGCGGCACATCGTGGAAACTTCCTTTGGCAGTCTATATTTATTCGATTTGTCTATAGTGTAGTTAACATTATATTTAATATTTTTAAGTACCCCTATGGTCTCCTATGAGGGCTACTCCGATACTGTCAAGATTGCGCAGTTGAGTGTGTTCCCCAGCCATGGTCCATCCTCTACCTTCATAGACCTTTCCATCCCCACCAACTATGAAACTAAAATAAAACAAATTACGACAACGTGATAAGACAACACAAGACAAACAAGAAAAGAGACATAAATTGTTAAAAAAAAAGCCTATATAAAATACAGTACATTACAACTAAATGGTAAGACATTTTTAGTACAAACAAATAAAAATATTAATCTTATAATTTGCACTAGTATTATTTTGAGACAATAAAGGACGTTCTATATTTTGTTGCTAAATATAGCATTTTCCCTATGATATTAAACATTAACGTTTTGGATCTAATGATTATTGTAGTGTCCAATCTAAATCAATCACAACTCACTAAATTTTATATACAGGGTGTTTTTTTAAAAACTTGCATCTTTATTTATGTAAATACCGCAATAGATAGAAATATGCAGTTTGCGGGAATCATCTATTGACGTAGGGGGACCAATTGTTTTGAATTCAACGTTACAGTCACATTCCCCCCCTTTCCCCCCTGCCCCCAACTTAATTTTTTTAAATAGCAAGGTACCCCTTGTGACATATCAAATAAAAGAGCATGAAAAAAGAAAATGTTTGATGAAAAAAAATTGAAAATCGGTTCATAAATTTGTGAGATATTCCCCCCGCAACCCCCCGGAACTTAATTTTTTTTTTAATAGCAAAGTACCCCTTGTGACATATCAAAAGAAAGAGCATGAAAAAAGAAAATTTTTGGTGAAAAAAATTTAAAATCGGCTCATGAATTTGTGAGATAATCACCCCCCTTTTCCCCTACCCATAACTTGTTTTTTAATAGCAAGGTACCCGCCCTTGTGACATATTAAATAAAAAATAAATTTAGCCAAAATTTTTCTTTTTTCATGCTCTTTCATTTGATATGTAACAAGGGGTACTTTGCTATTAAAAAAAAATTAAGTTCCGGGGGGGTGAGGGGGGAAATATCTCACAAATTTATGAACCGATTTTCATTTTTTTTTCATCAAAAATTTTCTTTTTTCATGCTCTTTTATTTGATATGTCACAAGGGGTACCTTGCTATTTAAAAAAATTAAGTTGGGGGCAGGGGGGGAAAGGGGGGGAATGTGACTGTAACGTTGAATTCAAAACAATTGGTCCCCCTACGTCAATAGATGATTCCCGCAAACTGCATATTTCTATCTATTGCGGTTTTTACATAAATAAAGATGCAAGTTTTTAAAAAAACACCCTGTATATTTACGGGCTTATGGTTCAACAGCATAATTGTAAATATATGTTTGATGTGTTATTTTTATTTACTTTACGTAAATTTACGGGCAAGGTGAGTGCAAATGACGCGATATGATCTGGCTGACATCGTCAAGGCAAATTATTAAAGCCAAGACCATGAGAAGCTGTGTCTAATTTCAAACCTTTGAAAAGCTGTTGGGTTTTCTCAGGGTTGAACTGGTGTTTTTGTGATTGCTATTTGAGTACTCTGACTACTTAGGTATCCAGCTATAATCATAATTGTAATTATTTTAACTAACATGTCGTTTGTTGTGATCCAAAATACTATACATAATCTCTTTTTCAGCTTGAAAAAATTCCAAAATATTTGATTAAAGAGGTGTAATCGATGTTATGGTTCAATTTACCGAAGTCAATAAATTCAAACAGTGCTTAATACTGAAAATGGAAATGTTTCAAACATTTTTGTTGCATTTACTTGTACATAATATCGTCGCAGTCTAAGTAGTCTTCAGTCATGTGGTCTTCCTGCATTTCTCTCAGAATCGCTTTGATTTTCTCAGAGTCCCTTCCAGGATTCTCATAGTTTGACGTATCGTGAATGACTACGTAGGAAACTGGGTAGTTTAACACGTCGTCCATTATACTATTTTCATAGATTTTTGGTGGTTTTGCACCCCAGTCTTCCCTTGGGACGACTGCAAAGAAAAATTGCATTGCATTATTAATCGAGGTAAATATTTCCTTTTTTTATTTTTATTGATTTAAATGCAAACTCAATGACATTTCCTGCTAAAATAATATTTCTATACACATGTTGACACCTTTTAAAATTAATTGTTCCAAGTTTTAAAACAAACTTAGGTAAAAATAATAAGGGGTCGTTATGTTTTTAGCAAATTCCCCATAAGGAAATAAGCTATTGAAGTAGGTCTCATGGTATGGCCTAGACCTGGGGCAGATTTACTTTTTCGTTTAAAAAACACCCTCTCCTTAAATTTATATATATATATATATGTCCATAAGCGTGATAACTCAAGCAAAACTGATCAGATTTCGACAAAAATATGGAACACACGCGTAAACCTACGTTTGTTCGAACGAGTTCACGAACCAGAATGACAGGGATATGAGTTTTGTGGGATAGAAATTGAGTTTTCCCAGTTTTGACTCTAAAAACTTATAATTTCACATTTTCTTTCCAAACCATTTTGTAGAGCTTAAAAAAGAAATTAACTTTTTGGATTATAAATAAATTCATGGTGAGGTAGCCTCTGGATCACTAAATTTAAGCTAAATGGTTTAAGTTACCTGGCTTCGTCAAGTGACCCTTCTTCAGTATTACACTACTATAGTTTCGGACTTGAAAATAAGTCCATCTTCAGGTTAACAAAGATATGATTTTCGTGTTCGTGTATGTGTTTTAAGTGTATCGACGAATCTAACCAAATTGGTTTGATGACCTATTGACGTTTTTGCTAACCTGAAGATGGACTTATTTTCAAGTCCGAAACTATAGTAGTGTAATACTGAAGAAGGATCACTTGACGAAGCCAGGTAACTTAAACCATTTAGCTTATAAATAAATTGTTGAAATTTTTCTTGTTTATGGATATATTTTTATAAAATTTAATAACATTTTTTGTTTTATACTAAGCAATCAACAACAAAAAATAACACCTCAATACATTTCTTGTATCAGCAAAACCTAAGTACGCAATAAAATTAATGTTATTTAAATGGGAAATTAAAAAATTACAATTTCAGGCTAAGGGAATATTTTACTATGAATCCAGCCAGGTAAATGGAAATTCGCTTAGTCAGCAGGTTTGCTGTGGTGGGGATATTTTCTTTTCTTCATGTACTTATAAAATGAGAAATAAGTACTGTATATTACGTTTTATTTATTATTATTTTCTTTTCAATATAATTAATCAAAACTATACTAACGTATATAGGCTAAGTATTTTATTTACCTACGCCATTCTGGAATCTTCTCAAGATCTTCCCATTTGGATTTTAACTTTTCAAATACTCGTTTTAAATGTTCAAATCCTATAATTCTTAATAGAGCCATTTTTCTATATTATTTAGCTAATAGTTTTTCACTATATTCTTTCCACTTTCAACACTGCACTAACAAACTAATATGCTTCATAACAAAATAGAAACTAAGTTCAGTAATGGGAAAGATAATTCAGATAAAATCATGATATGATTTTGATAAGGAACAGTAAGCAGGCAAATTGCTAGGTTTAAGTGGTTTATACATTCAGCTCCAACGAAAACGGTTCTTTGCCATAACACTCTTTTATTTGCTAATAACATTAGCCATAGTTTCACAAACCCTTGGTTGATTTTAGCGAATTTCCCTATAGGGAAGTAAGCTATTACCGTAGGTGGCATGGTAAGACCTAGACCCGGGACCGATTTACTTTATAATTTTGATGTCCCCAGAGGCCAAAAACACCATTCGTTAAAATTTTTATATATGTATATATATATAGATATATGTATATAGTACTTCTGAAGTATATATATATATGTATATATATATATATATATAGTTGTGAGCTCTTTAGTTTTATGAGGGATTCAAACAATGCATTTGACTGGAAAACACATTTGTAATTCAACTCATATATATTATATCTCAGTGATTCAGAAAAAACAACATACAACATGATGATTGTTTTGATTCTTCTAAGTATTTTTTACATAGTAAATTACACAAATTTTTACTCGCATACATTAACTACTCCTTCAAGCTGTAAAATCACATTTATATTCCTACTGAGACAAGATGGATATAAAAATATTATGCTAGTCTACAAAATGCTTTATATTCAAAAGGGTTACATACTAAAAAGTAAATATATTATATTTCAAAGCCTACAAGCTTATCCCAAAGTTTGCCTATGACATTTCTTTTGGACCAGTGTTCATTTGCAGCCAGTACAGTCTCGTCCAAATACAGATCCATGGTGTAGTATCCTGGACAATACGTGGTGAAGTCTAGATCAGTGTGTAGGATAGTCTGTAGTTCATGACCCTCCTTGAGATATCCGAACCGGACCCCGTAGTACACCAAGGCACGGAAAGCTTCTGCCATGTCAGGAGGCAGGTCGTTATCTGAAGACAAATATATAAGGTAAGAGTTAGGAGGGAATCCTAATATCATACAGCTTGAAAATCGTCGGCCATAATGAGAGTTCACTCAATTTGATGCATAATGGGCAAGTGAACCACCAATTATTATAACTCCAATTCTGGAGGGCGAGGTGGGAGTGAAATACCTAATTGTTGCCCTAATATTTGCTACGTTAGCGCTTTTGCTAAGCTTGGCGTCACACATTGTTACACAATGTGAAAGAAGTGCTTAGGTAGTTTTAAAAAGTCAGTCTTTAATTTTATTAAAATAATAAATCTCTTCGTCACTTTTCTGTAAGATTTCAAGCTGCTAAGGCTTGTAAGCGTTAAGCAAATACAATAATACTGAAGACACTTGTACCACTAAGCAATACAAATAAATTTCCAATATAAACGTGACCGCTTGGGGCCATTTACTAACATAGTCTTTAAACTGGTACAATTAAGACCTGTTAGCAAGTTCAAATCGTTGTCACAATCTATTCAGGGCAATCTTTAAGCAGATAGAGATTAATTTCTAAACGTCACCTTATACTTTTAGAAAAGCGAAGGAATTTCAAGTTGTGGCCAGAACATACCTCCCAAAAAAAAAAAAAAAAAAATCTTTTGCCTCCAATACTACCTTACCACAGAAATTGCCCATGAAGGCGACCCCGATGGTCTCATGGTCAAAGGCTTTGACGTGTTCTCCTTGAACGTTCCAACCTCGACCTTCGTACACCCTTCCGTCCCCTCCGACAAGGAAACTACAAAATACAATAAAAACACATAAGAAATAACTTCCGTATATGTATACAGTTCATCAAATAACATCATTAAAGGATTAAAGGAGAAAACTAGAACTCTTTAATTATTCTCCATGTCAATTACAAAGGAATTTTAAATTTAAAATTTTTTAAATTTGTTCCGTAACCAATCACTGTACAAATCACTTCAAAATACACAATTGTTTATTTAGCTCTCCAAAAAAGGGTAGAGAGAAATTAGGAATATTTTTATTCTGAGGATCATCCTTCAATTGAGAAAATCATAATTATGTCCCACATCGGCCACACACTTTGCTCCGTCCTCATGGTCTGATCATACTGAACACGTTCGAATAAATTAATTTTACACGTTTGTACCAAATTTCATCAAAATTGGATGATTGGTGTTTGGGTTACCGTGCTGACAGACACTTACAGATATAGATATTTTTAAATGGTGTATTCGAATTTGAACGGGCAACTTTTGGCTTCTAGGGACATCAAAATGAAAAAAAAAAAAAAAAAAAAAACAATCGGTCCCGTGTCCAGCTTTCCCGTTAGACCTATAGTGAAAAAATGGATAATTTTCCAAAACACCAAGCAAGATTATAAAATTAAAAAAATCATAATATTAAGCTGTTGGATCAGGTTTATTCATTCCTGCTAAATCTACTTAATCTACAAGAGAAAAAAATAATATTGAAAATGTGATATTTACTCGACCAAGATGCTAACATAATAAGTCATGCGAGTAGTATGTTATACATATTATTATAATATATTAGACCGGCATAATTTTGTTGACCGGCATGGAATTTTACATTGACATATATAATTCAATACCTAGGGCATTTAGTACAAATTTGCACTTAACCTTAAATAAAACCACTGGCTTGTGGTATTGCAATAGAGTTCTAATTCTACATTAGAAGTTGAAACCTATTTAGACGTGTTTTACCTTCAACTAAAGTCGAGTTTCATTATATCCTGTCTTATTATTTAGGTCAATTCATTAGTTAAAAAATACTTCTACCAAATAAAATATATCTAGCTAAACAACATGAGTCAAGTACACATTAAAAAATGACTAAACTATTTCCATTCAGTGTAAATCGGTGTAACTAACTCAAATATAAATGTACATTTTTACATTAAATAATAAAAAAAAACTTGAACTAAATCCAACATAAAATTTGAAATTTTGATGAGAACATAAAATTTATTATAAAGATATCAATGATATGACTTACTTCCATTTAATATCTGCATGCCCCTTTTCATTCATGTGTTTCTCCTGTAATTTTCTAATTTCCTCTGAACACTTTTTCTTCCCAGGACATATTGTTCCACATGTGTGGTGAATTACTACTTTTGTGACGGGTAATTTCAGAGGGATAACTTCCTTGGGCTCTACGGCTCCCCATTCCGATCTTCTGATCACTGGAAGCCATAATAAAATTCACAAAGTAATGAAAAGGTAGCTTCAATGATCTTTTATGTTTGTATTACTGTATTTATTCCTGTAAACTTTTTATGTTGACAGTAAGGAACAGTACAAATATATTAATGTGTAAGACAAGAAAATCCAACAGGTTGTAAACATAGACAAAATAATTGTTAAGGCTATTAGAAAATGAAGATCTCTTTAGTTAAACCAAAGTATCATATGAATGGAGGATATCACATATGGAACGTAAACAGCTGTTGAAGTGCACAGTTTGGAGTCCGCATAATAATGAAATTAAGTTTACAATACGGTGTATTCTGTTGGTTTGGTTTATTATATTTTGTCCAGGTCTAGGCATTACCATAAAAATAGGTAAAATACACTTCTTTTTGGAATTTTTTAAAGTCAAAATACGTGTACTATGGCTAATAAAACTAAAAGAAACATGGAAGCTTTTTTTAAAGGTTGGAGCCTCTTTTAACCTTGCATTTGCCCGTCCACATAGACTAACCACCCGTGCGTGGAACGTTTACAGTAAAGCAAGGAGTGAGGCGGTACAGTACAAAGGTGAACTGTACTGATAAATGTTATCGGCAGTGACCAGGATCCGAACCCACGACATCGCTGCCTTGGGCCCAAAGTCCACGACGCTACCGAATAAGCCACCGACTCACTATAAAATTATAATAGCTTATATAGTAATCATTAATATATACAATTTTTCAGTTACCTCCAAATTTAGGACCCATGAGTAGGTAAATAATACGTTATACCACTTATTGACATTTCGTAAAGCACTATTGACTTTCCATTAGTCGCTCTTATTGCTACTTGTAAATTTACTCTGCACTGGTTAAATGAATCCATTTTACAGCTGAAACTGTTTGTAAATCATCATTGTTAAATTAGATTGGTGATAGCGGGCTTATCATGTTTGGCTAAAGTCAAACTTTCATGAATCATGCTACAGAACTGTAGTTTATATCGGTTGTGAAAGAGTTGTGATCGAAAATATTTGTAAACATGAAGATAACAGTTTGTTTTGAATTTTAATTGACTAAAACAATTTTAACTTCCTTGTTTATAAGTATTAATACAACTTCACTGAGAGTAAAACAATATTGATGTGTGTGTAACATTTGTATGTCAATTTGAATACAATATTACTCTCAAAATGTATATAATTAGGTAAAAATGTAAAAATTAGCTTTCCCGAGGACTCTTTCGTTTATTTACTTTGATGTCAATTTCTTAAATAATTTGTGATTAAATGGATTTTTAAAACGATGGGCTTATTTTCTTCAAGTAAGTATTTTTCAAGACTAGTATACAATACAAGCAAATCGTACTTAAAAAATGTATAACATTTAAAACTCACATGGTTTCTCCTCAGTAACGAAATATTGCTCATAGATGATATCTGGCAGGGATAATATGCCTTGACTGTATTTGTGGGTTTAATGTGTTGCAGTTTTAACCAGGGTCCATGATTCTGAACAAAATTGTCAGGCTAAACTACCTCTTAAATAGGTACCTAATCGAAAATTAATTTTTGGAGGAACTGTATGTTTACTTACTTTTACACATTTCCTTCAATACTTCAACACATCGTTTTATGGATTAGAAACTGAAACAAACTCAATTATGGTATTTTTTTGTTTTTATACTCACAGTTGCTGGTTATTTAAGGAAATTTATTCTTACAGTCAAAATAACAGTGCGCAGTCAAAATAACAATGTATGTGACCTATTCTGAATAATAGTTTTTGAAGATCGGATCGCAAAATAATCGTGTAACGAAAACCACCAACAATTTGCTGGATATTACTACTCATAATTGAAGAAGTAAACCATCTCACCAAGATGGTAACACAATTACTAATATAAATGTGTTTTAACCCAAATGTAAAGTAACTATAAACCAAGGATATAGTTATTCAGGTATCTTGATTGCGGTTGTAAAATGCTTATTAATTTCAAAAGGTCGGGAATATGTAGTTGCTTTTTGTGATCTTGATTGGTCCTTGTATATTTTTGTCACTGACTAAAGAAATCTTCAGTCTTCGTTTGGTTTTCTAAAAGCCTATAACCAAGACAGCTGGATCGAACATCTAACCACCATTCCAACAAGCTAAGCTGTTTAAGTGAAAAAGGAAAAATTAAAAAGGTGCAAGCCTAAAATTATGAAAAATAATCAACATGAAGTAAATATTTGCAGGATCTAAAAAATTACAGAAAGTTAGCATTGCAGACAGAATGTTTTGCTTATATAGGTATATGGTATATAGGTGCTTTCGTATATCATTTTTGGGTTGGAGAGAACATAGTGCTATATCTAAACAGATTATATGGACTTACACTGCTGTTTATTTAACAGTTTTGTCATCCCTTCATTAAAACAACTCAAACATTCCAAGTTGGACAAGTTCGAGTTTTGAATTTGTCAACTGCTTAATCAAGGATGATACGAACCAGTTATCCTTGCTGGCATTATTTTCAAACAACTTTATTTACTTTCGATTGCAGAACCCTCCAGCTACGTAGATCGGTATACCTGGGATGCCGTGGACCCTCTGGCGGTCACAACCCTCGACCATCCAGTGACCGATGTGTACGTGACAGCTGTAGAAGGACAGACTTACTTGAGGAACGTGTTCTACGTACAAGACTGTATCAGGTTCCTCAGGGAGCTGCAGAAGAAAGACATCTACGACGAAGGGCTTGCTGATATTGCTTATAAGTAAAAATATATTCATTAAGACGTATTAAGATATTTAAGTATTTGTAAACAATTTACTATACGGGATTTTAAGGGGAGACAGTACCTTTTCCTGTTTAATGATTTTTTAAAAATAGATTCTCGATAAGTCCAAGTACATATAGCAAGTAATCTATTGAAGATACCATACTGATATTTTGAACACCTATTCAACACGTCCTTATTTATGCTAAACCACCTTTTAAAGAAATGTATTGGCATTTTTCAACTATTTAAAAAATATATAAATTTTACGTTATAGCTAAAAAAACACAGGTTTATTATATTGGCCGTTATAATTAAACAGAGAAACTAACGCGAATAAACTATATGAATAAAAAACCATAATTATAGATTCATTGGTCGTTGTTGTGTTGTGTTGTTGTTGTTTCATTGTTGTTGTAATGGGTCTCCTTAATGTTATAATTACTACAAATTTAGTAGATGACCAAGATTTCAAACTGAATACGTCATTGAAGCCGTCTGAAGCTAGTAGCTGAGCAAATGTAAGCAGCTCTTAAGCTTTTTAGCTTCAAACTTCATTGTTACAAGCCATGTTTTGTATCTGATACAACAATGGAAGAAAAACAGCTGTGGTGTTTCATGACATCTGCCATATAGTTTAAAACAAAATTCTACTATTCGTATACTTTGGTTATGTGTGGTACTTTTCCTCTTAACATTAGAAAAACTTTTGAAATAAACAATTGTATATAATTTTGAGCTCATAAACCTAACCATTCAATTTTTTAAGAGTTACAATATAATAAATAATTAATAAATTAATATTTCAGCTTTTACGTTGGCGGGGATGGGCACGTATATGAAGGCAGAGGATGGCAAGTAGCTCCCACATTACAGCATGAAGGGGAAAGTCATGACGTGGATGGTTTAGCTATCGCGTATATAAGACCGATTCCAGGTATGATATTCATATAGCAGTGAACTCTTAAATACTTGTCTATTCTAATAAAATAAATACTTAAGCGCAAGTACCAAACGGTAGCACAGATTTCAAGGAAACATTGGTCCAGGACGTAAATCTTTGTCAAGTGGGTGGAAATATTAACCTTAAATGTGATTATTGTAACATCCTCATTGCTAACATAGTGTTGCTATTACAAATCTTTGATTCGTTAAAATCACTTTTACTCCGGAACCCTCATGAAAATAACATCATTAGGTAAACTCCGTTAGCGATTCGTATGCTTTGAGCCCAAAGCTCTACATTTTATGATTAGCCAGCTAGTTAATTCAGGGATTTCTGTATGTATATTCGTTTACATACATATTAATATTATTGATATGATTGTATATTGATTTATTTAATCCTTTTTACCGTCAAAAGTACATTAAATGAATTTAAATAACCTATGCATTTCGATAACGATACATTTTAGCTCACGTTGTTTTATTATCATATGTTAATAAATAATTACGTAATTTCTCTGTTGCAGGAAGTCAACCTAACGAGTTGATGGTTTCGAAAGTGAAAGAAGTTATTCAAGAAGGTATACAAAATGGATATATTGACGAGAACTGTAATATTGAAGGATTAACTCATGAGCTAGAAAGTGCAGGATAGAACATGATATTTATTATTATTTTACATGCGTGTATTTAATGTGTTTTTATTGCATACATTTTTAATACTGTGGATACGATAAAATTTTTACCCAGCTTAGATTTAGAATTTTACGCTGTCTACTGTTATAGAAAAGTAAGAGTTAGGAAAACTTTAACCCGATTGTTCTCTTAATTTCTCCTTTTCCTTTTGTCTTTTTAATTTTTTCGGGAAATTTATCAACTCTTCTAGCATTACAAGTCCCGGGCAGACAATATCATCTGAAAGGGCATTGTGAGGTATAACCTCAAAATCTTCGTCAATGTAGCCTTTTTTTATTCCATATAGAATTATATCTTTTGCCAGCTGTATTTCTTCTGCGTCTGGTGGACGGTCTGAAAATAAATATTTGAGTTTAGCGTCATATTTTTTTTTAATACAAAATATATACTGTTAGTAGGCAATTGCTACAATAATTCGTTTTCTGAAATTATCTAATATCAGAGGAATATTTAAATCAATATCAATAGCCATCCATAACCACCTCATTGATCTACCAGAAAATGATATCCTTAACACATATGGCAGGAGCCCATACAGGGATATTTGGGATATTTTTATACAGGGATAATTTTTATGCCTAATTGAGTATTTAAAGGCTGGGGCTTGAAGAATTTTGCTAGTGATGATAAAAAAAAATTTTAATATGCAAGAGCTTACAAAATATAAACAGAGTATGTAAAACATACCTCCGTATCGCATCTGGAACGCGATGCCGATGCTCTGGTCGTCCAGCCCTTCGGTATGTTCTCCTTGATACTGCCAGCCTCTGCCCTCGTAAATATTGTTGTTGACTGTGATTAGAAAGCTTCAAAAATACATGCATGTATCAGTAAATAGACAAGTTCACAGGGAATAGTTGTTATTTGAGCACTTCAATTTCGAAAACATTGGATGGAATTTGACTAATCTACATTATTTTTAGTTTGTATAAGTTTGTATAACACTTTGGCTTACTCTTAATGGCCAATGATGATGTCGAATGCTTTACACGTCCTTCGAAAATCATGATGAGTTTTATTTACAATAAATTCCCAATAACTTTAAACCATGTAGACAGCATACAATACAGTAATGCATATAAGCTGATAGGTAGTAAAGTAAAGGAAGCTACTGAATATTGAGCATGTTTTTCCTTAAAGGATTACTATATGAATAACCTGTGCAATTAAAATGTAGCATACTGCATAGCTTACAATTAGGGATCTAGCTAAGCTGTAAGTCTATCTTTTGTAATCGAATGAAAAAATAGAAAACCCCCCTTGAGTTGAGATATCTCTTTGATGCTATATAACCTGCGAAACATCATATTTTTAACAGCTGTCTATTGTTTACTAACGAAAGTAACATTGTTTACAACCAAAAATTCTCCACTGTCAACAACTTAAAAATTTGTTATTGTTTTATCAACTGCTTCAATTTTCAAAAACTAAATCAAATATTAACTTAACTAAAAATAAAACCGTATAAAAATATAACCAGTAACTATTAAGCATAACCTAAAAAATTCTATGAGTTTTATAATGAAGAAAAATAATCACTCTTTGTAGTGTATCGAAAAGTAACGTTCAAAACACGAGTGAAAGTGGATCTATACATAGTCTCACCATTTAAAGTGCTCTATAAATCTAGCACTTCAAGCATGGTCTCAAATATGTAATGACTCACTTTCTACTCTTGTTATGAAATATACTACTGCGTCAAAATTATACTGTTATAGAAACATATTTGGATAATGGAGGGGGTGTAAAATAGGTTAATAGGGGCAGCAAATCGGATATCAGTTAAGACAAATTTACACATTTAATGTTTAGAGTTTTTAGTACTCAGTAAAAATTCTTTACCTATATTAATAACACAAATTTTATGCATCGGAAATTTAAACGGTTTATTATATGCCTTAACGTTATATTTACAACTCCCTTACTAATAAAAATAGCTGGAGGTATAATAATATTTTTTTTTATTATCTAATAAAACTCTATAGTATGTAATACATTAAATTTAAGAGCGAAGCCTTGAAAATGTAACACAAAAAAATTATTTAAGACGATTAAGTCACATAATTGAAGAAATTTCATTTTATGATAAATCACCTAATTTGTGGAATATTTTTATTTGCTAAAGTATTTGGATTATCTTACTTATATTTTATATCCGCCTTCTTATCCTTTTTCATATGGAACTTCTGCAGTTTTCTAACTAAATACTCACAGGAATGATTAGTATAACATTCCTTAGAATTTGTCTTATGGATGATTACTTTCTTGACCGGGTGGTTCAGTTTTTTTCTGGGCTTACATTCTCTGGCGTCCCATTGTTTTCGACTTACAGCTGAAATAGTAATCATAACCTTTAAAACACGATGGTAAATTGAAGCCTTGTTTTCAGTATGGCTAGACTATTATTTTATAATAGAAAAATTTAAATTCTAATCTTAAACATGCATAAAGTATTAACTAAATGAGTATGCTTAAAAGAGCTTTTTCCTCTCCACCTTTTGGCTGCACCTATGTAATTTATCCTTCAAAATCTACTTAAAAACATTTCTTACATCTTACGATTGCAGGTAAAGTGACATTTTGAAAGTTATGTGAATCAAGGAAGATTAAAACTATTGTTCAAGTTTGCCACACAGCAAATGGTTAAAGAAATCAAAATGTACATACTTGTAAGGGTTGTAAACATTGTTGTTGTTGTTGATGTAAAATTTATATGGAACTACACAGGCAATGTGGTTGTGTTTAGGTCATCTAGCTTATAACCCGCAAGTATTGTTTAACATGACAACATCAGTTGTATATTAAGAGATTTCCTTCAAAATTTGTTCTAGAGTGAGCTTAAGATTGGCGCAGACTTGTTAATATAAAATATCACTTATACATTAACAAAACTGATATCGCCTTTACACATGTTTAAAAGCCCCATATAAAAAAATCAATATGGTTACGGTAATCTACTTTCCTATCAATGTAGGGCTTAGCAAGTTAAATCTCATTCAAGTTTATCTTACTAAAGTTACAGTTACAGTTATGTTACAGTTTTTTTTCTGGTGTTATTCTAAAGTGACTCTATAATAAATAATCTTGAAACATTTTGCAGTTTTTTGTTAATTTTTTACTATAGTTACAATAAAAGGTACACAATATTATATGGCAAACGTAGTATTTTAAATGAAATATTGTTACCCTTTGTACCTAATGGTAATTTCTTTATTTTGTGTTTAAACAGGTAGAAAAATTGTTGAATAGTTTGAAAGAATTATGTTTGAAAAGATTAAAATGTTTTTAAAGATAAACTTTAATGAACAGACATTTAAAGTTTTAAAATTGTGTTTTTGGGTTTGTATCACGAATAATCTACATGATAAAAATAAATGGCGAGTTGTTTGATTTAGAGACATATCTAAAACGTCATAATTTCACGGGGAAAATAAACTATTATTCGTTGAAACAATAAAGGTTTGTACACGAGTAGAAACAATGTCACCCAGGTTGGTTTCATACAAATTTAAAATTATATTAAGGTTTTCTGCGAAACACAGAAAGCTTCTAACCAAATCTACCTCTTGTTTCACTTCATAGACACAGCGAGACATTCTAGTATTGTATGTGTCATGTATCGCATGAGTTTTGTTTTTGTTTATAATCTCTGTGGTTTTCTACTCATAGTTCTTCGTAGAACTCAGTCTAACATTTAAGCTTAAATCGTACTTGTATTTACGTGTAAACTATCAACAATGCTTTTTGTGTGAAAATGTATTTTTGATAAAGTTTGGTAGTGCAGATTTTATGTTGATCATTTATAAGACTGATTTAGGCCTAATAATATCATAGTGTAGTTAAATTTAAAGATACATATTGTTATATATTCTCATTGTACATGGATTTATATTGAAACATTCAGTTGAAATGCAATTATTCAGCAAACCCGTCCAGTAGATTATGGTAAATGGGTCGGACATGTACTAAATGAAACATTAAGTGTGACAAGTGTTGTGCCCTACCCTGATAAAGCTGGGGATGATTTCTAAAACAATATACGATTTGTAGCTCGGTTAACGCTGCGATTGTAAATTCATGTACAAAAGGCATATATCTATTAAGCTCTATGTTTAATCTTCAGTGTTAAATCTCTAATAAAGATGTATAAAAATACACAAACTGCAACTGAAAATCGTCAGATTTCTAATTTCTTTACTGTTCTAAATGTTTTAACAGATTTGTTGTAATTTATAACCACTGGGGTGCTCTTTTTTAAAGCTTAAAAATAACCAGGTTCTGGTAAAGGTTTCTCATTAAGTTCTTTTTACTAAGTTGTTGCTTAACATGGCCGCGCTGTAAACTGGGTAGAAAATCATAGCTTCAATTTAACTATTATATTTTGACGTCCCTCACTTTAAATGACGTATTAAAATTTTAATTGTATTTGAAAGTCATAAATGATGATCTGGAATTTTTGAGGGTTTTTTTCTTGTGCCCAGCCCAGTGTAATTTGTTATACAAATCGATTAGAAACCATTTAAATGTATTAGTACACAAAGCGAAGGTTTCATATTACATAAAAACCCTGAATGATTAAAAAAAAACCAAATGAGTTCTGGTCAGTCATACGAAGTTGCAGTGTAGGGGGTGAGGATAGTAAACTAAATGATTATTCTTTTGCAAGCATCAATGAGATTAATAAGTATTTTATTGACATGGGATCTATTTTTAGCCCAGATCAGAACGTGATTGAGTATTATAGAGCCAACAGAATGAATGACATTAAAGCATTTAAATTTGTCAATGTAACGGACCTGCAGTAAAACATGCAATTAACAGTATAAGCTCAAAAGCAAAAGGAAATGATGGCATTGATATTTTCATGATTAAATCAACGAGTCCGTTCTGCCTTGAAGCAATCACCCATTTGATCAATCAGTCACTGAATACCGGGTTATTTCCAGATGCTTGGAAACAAAGCATTGTAAGCCCATTGCCCAAAACTAAACACCCGACGAATGTAGATCATCTAAGGCCTATATCTGTACTACCAACGTTATCTAAAATCTTAGAGAAAATTGTAGTAAAACAAATTACTGAATTTATTGAAGCAGAACACATTTTACCAAAACAACAATCAGGCTTCAGGAAAAACTATAGCACTTACACTTCCCTTTTAAATATCATGAGTGATCTCTTTGAAATGAAGGATGTTAGTAAATGCAGCTCTGTAGTCATGTTGGATTATTCCCAGGCATTTGATTCAATATCTCACAAATTGTTGTTAGCAAAACTACACTATTTCGGATTTGATGAGTCAGCAGTGAATTGGGTAGAATCGTACCTCAAAAATAGAAGTCAGGTAACAAAAATCATCGATGAAATATCAGCTCCCCTGTCAAAAGAAAGAGGAATTCCCCAAGGAACATGCTTAGGACCAATATTCTACAACATCTACACTGCTGACATTACAAGTGTTGTGAAAACTAGCAATTTACATTTATATGCAGATGATTGTCAGATTCGAATATCTTATGATAAAGCCTCTTACGCAAAGGCCTTTGATGCCATTAATGATGAGCTGAATGCGATCTCTGACTGGTCAAAGAGCCATGGATTGAAACTGAATCAAGAGAAATGTTCAGTTCTCCATATTGCACCCTTAGATACTTTACAAGAAATTAAACAAGGTAATGGCGGACAGATAGAAATAAATGGAAAGGCCATAAATATATGCAACAAATTGAAAATGCTTGGATTAATTGTTGATGAAGACCTGACGCTATCTGACCATGTAAACCTCATGTGTCAGCGAGCCCTTGGCCGGCTGCGAGGTCTATATAGATTAAAAGCAATTTTACCTGAAAATTCCAAAATAAAAATTGTAAGGGCCCTAGTACTGTCTGTTTTTGATTATTGTCTTCCGGCTTACGGAAACAGCATTACAAAAGGCGACCTGAATAAAATCCAACGACTACAAAACTCATCACTTAGGTTTATTTTCAATTGTACAAAAAGAGATCACATAACTCCGTACAGAAACGCTGCGCAAATTATGCAGATAAATAAAACTTGTATATACCTAACCTGCAGCCTGATACGTAAAGCTATAGAGCTCGGCCAGCCTGAGTACCTGTGTGAGAGACTTCTGTCTCGTCGAGATGTCTCTGCCCGCAGCACGAGGCAGGACAAGTTGTTACACTTTCGCAGAGTCAAGCATTCGGTGGGGAGGCGCGCCTTCTCATACTTCGGTCCCGCCTTGTATAATTTCACATTCTGCGCTTAATGGCGATGTAGTAAATGGATTGGACATGCTCCAAATGAAATGCTCTCCCTAATCAGGTAAAGGGGGCCAACACTCTTAACTCATTCAAAAAAAGATTAAAAGCATATTTGGATGAGTTTTGAGTTCTTTGCTACAAACTATTGTTGTTGTAAATAGTTGATTTTTGGATAGTTTTAAGATTGTTAAATTATAGATTGATTTTATAGAATGTTTTATGGATTGTTTTATAGATTATTTTTTTAGATTGTTATTAAAGATCGCTATCATTGATTGTTTTTACATTGTATCACCACAGAGAAGATTGATTATTTATATTGTTTTTAGATTGTTTGATGGATTGTTTTTATTTATAGTTTAAGTAGGTTAATGACAAGAGTTGTTTTGTAAAGCAGAATTGTAAATATCTGAAAAACGCTTGCTGAATAAAGACCATTTATTATTATTATTATAACTAAATCAACGCATACGCTTTTACGGAAAATCAGTCAAAACCAATTATTGTCTTTGCATTGGGCCGGGAATTGAACCAGTACTTCTTACAAAAAATTTTAGGAATTCGCTAGTACGTATTCGTAATTTTAATTTAAAAAAACTAATAGAAAATCACCATTGTACCATTTGTTTATAAATAATTTTACACATCCACCTACCTTCTCCTAAAGACTCATTTTCTTCACCTGAGATATAAATATATTGTATTAAGAAATTTTATGTTTTCCTCTTTAATCTTTGGTTACAGCATTAAAATCGGCTAAAGGATGACTAGAGCCATGTGGGTTATAGCCTTGTTAAAGGATAATTTAAACCCGGGTTTTAGCACAAAGTGTTGTACTCAACCCACCAGATTCAAATTGATCCATTGATAGAAACAATAACTTGGCTATTTAAAGGATAAGTTGACATATTTTTCTCGTAAATCACCAGCTGCAAATGCCGTTTATGAAATAAGCTGGGATTCTTTTACACATTATTTCTCAAATAACCAGCTCGTTCGTACTGTGAACCCCAAATATCAACATCAGTATTTAACCTGACTAATATTAATAAGAATATAAATTAAACCTTTTTCATTTAAAGATACAACAAAAACGTTTAAAGATTCGTTTAACAGTTAAATCTGAAAAGTTAACACCGTAGCGCATCGGGTTGGCAACCATTTCATAACAACAAACATTCTGCGCTTAATGGCGATGTAGTAAATGGATTGGACATGCTCCAAATGAAATCCTGTGACAAGCCTTGTCCACATTTTATCGTGGTATGTTTCTAACAGGCATCGTTTTGCATATATATATATTTATTTTATTTTCAAACGTAACTATTACTTAAAAGAGCACATATATTGTTAGCTCCTTTGAAATTGCAAACTGATTTTTAAAATATTTGTATGCACATCTTGGCAATGTAAAAGAGTAAAGGAACAAGAGTATTGTTAAAGATAACACATGGTTTTATATTATGTTTAGTTTTCTAACGGGTTTGTGTAGTGGTATTTGATAGTAATTTTTGTTGTCCTAAGGTGCTAGGCACAAGCCTCGGATTGTTTTTCATACTACTTCAGGCTAGACCTAGGGGTTGTGACATTATCACTTATATATTGGAGGTTGGCGGGATTTGAACTTGGGACCTCAGGGACTGAAGTCTCGCGCTCTAACCACTAGACCAGCTCGCCCCCTCATTTTCATGGTATTGATAGTGGAATCGATTGTTTCATTTCCAGGTTAAGATTTATAGCCACTGAAGAATTTTACTTACAATAACATACCGTATATCTATAAACACAAGTGGTTTTTTGCCAGTTTTACGCAAAAATATACAATCACCGTCATGGTTAAAGCACTAGTCCAACGCAAACTGTTTATTATTCATAATTCGGCCTTTAATTTCATAAACCAGGCCAGCTTTAATTCGGTCCAGTGACAATGAATTGTCCTACTCCACGTTTCATGACAAGCGTTACAATCTGTATACAATGTATTGTAGATTTACAGAGCAAAAACAAAACGAACTTTACCTCTTAACACTAAGTCACAAACTACATTTCACTATTAAAATTATTTTAACTTGTTTAACTTTTTAAATGACATTTACTATGACCAATCAGCAGAAAACTTACTTTTGCCCAGTATGCCGATGCAAACAACTACTTTAAGCATTGTCAACTTAAAATCGCCTTTGAGTGTTTACAATAAACAAGGATAAATCCTTTACTATTCAAATACTTACATAAACTAGTGTTATCATAGGGACTATATCTGTATATAAAAACTTTGCTGTTTGACTTTTAAAGGATAAAAAACAACATTAATAATTTAGAACAGATAGATTTAAATAAATTTGTAATTGTATACGATTTTTAAACTATTTCAAAGGGAATGAAAAAAAAACAAAGAAAACAAAATATAACATTAAATTTCAGAAGGGTTTATCTTTACGGACGTTCTGTATGACTATAAACAGAATTCCCTTGATTAACCAAAGGTATTTACGTATTACACCGACCACACCGATAAATAAGTCCAAATATGATTTTTATTAGATTAAATAACAAAATCTTCCAAACCTAACCTAACTTAACCTAACCTAACCACACTTAGGTTAGGTTAATTATTAGGTGTGGTTGGTATAATACGTAAGTACCTAACCAAATAATTTGGCTAAAAGGCTTCTTTATTATCTTGACGTGCAATTTTCTCAAATAATAAAACGACAGTTAGTTAATTGGTTTCATTGTTGGTTCCTGGAATAAGTTTACAAATTCCTCGATCTTACACATTCTAGGTGTCATCCAAGCTGGTCCTAAGCCTAAGACTGGCCTGAAACAATATTATTTTTTTCAAACCTTCAACTGTCTTTAATCAATGGTAACATAAACACACTTCACATTAAACGCACTTCACTTAAACATGGAAAAATTTAACGTTTCTTTCAAGATGTAATGAGTAAATAGTAAATTAGCACTTATCATCTTGCTGCAAATATTAAGATTCGCTAGGAAAAAGTATCTGATCATGTACTTTTCATTAATAAACGTCGAGCACTTTCTTTTGATACCACAAAGTCTTTTTGATACTACAAAGTCTTCTGATACTACAAAGTCTTTCTGATACTACAAAGTCTTCTGATTCTACAAAGTCTTTCTGATAATACAAAGTCTTTCTGATACTACAAAGTCTTCTGATTCTAAAAAGTCTTTCTGATACTACAAAGTCTTCTGATTCTACAAAGTCTTTCTGATAATACAAAGTCTTTCTGATACTACAAAGTCTTCTGATTCTAAAAAGTCTTTCTGATACTACAAAGTCTTCTGATTCTACAAAGGCTTTCTGATAATACAAAGTCTTTCTGATACTACAAAGTCTTCTGATTCTAAAAAGTCTTTCTGATACTACAAAGTCTTTCTGATAATACAAAGTCTTTCTGATACTACAAAGTCTTCTGATTCTAAAAAGTCTTTCTGATACTACAAAGTCTTCTGATTCTACAAAGTCTTTCTGATAATACAAAGTCTTTCTGATACTACAAAGTCTTCTGATTCTAAAAAGTCTTTCTGATACTACAAAGTCTTTCTGATAATACAAAGTCTTTCTGATACTACAAAGTCTTCTGATTCTAAAAAGTCTTTCTGATACTACAAAGTCTTTCTGATACTACAAAGTCTTTCTGATACTACAAAGTCTTCTGATTCTACAAAGTCTTTCTGATAATACAAAGTCCTTCTGATACTACAAAGTCTTTCTAAAACTACACAGAGATTAGCATATACGAAAATAAATAACAAGATCTTCATTTAACGCTTAGTTGCTATTACAGGAATATAATAAAGTACTTTTTCCAAAATATTTCATTATATGACATAATAAAGCAAAGATTTACAGGACGGAAAATACAAATGAAGGGAACAGAGGTAGGTTATTTTAGCCAGTAATTCCTTTCATCACAATAATGATTTGACTCATAGCTTTAAAATAAATAGTACTTTTACACTTTTAAGAGACCCCGTTTATAGCTTATTAGCTCCAAAGTGTTTAAGAACTACTTATTTTAAAGTTTTGAGTCAAAATGAGTTCACATAGATTACAAGGGTTGTAATTTAAAACCCATTTAAGTTAGAGGCTGTAATATCAGAAAAGAACTAAAAATATGCATGATTATAATTGAAAAGAAATGCAGTAGAATGTGTTTAAAAACAAGTTTTACAATAAACAGAGCCAATGCTTGAGCTATAAAATATTTTAAATCCGATTTTAAACTGTATGGTATCATATAAAGGTTATTAGAATAGGTATTTTGTTCTGTTATAACATAGATGCAGCATGTAGCATGTTAGAAATAATTCTTTGTGATTTCTATTATTCTGATATTTTGATTTTTAAATATTCAATGTACCATGATTTACTTACATATCAGATTCTGGTATTGTTTCGTCCGTTTTATATATGGGGTCAAAATTATATTTAATACGATGTTTCCTCTGTATGTATTTGTGTCTGACTCCATATTTGATTAAGTTTAAGGCCGATGACAACGCCCTTGTACTGGGGTTTCCTGAAACTAAAATTACAAGCTTAAGGCACATTGATTTTTATGCAAGCGTGTGAAAAAATTGTTTATACAGATCACTTTGCAGGGACAGAGTAATAACAACTAGCTTAATATTAACCTAATGTATTGTAATGACAAACGATTTTTTATTTTAAGTTTTGGTTAGTATTGTAGTTGATTGACGGAGTTTAAATTTAAAACTAGTGAACCTGTGCGGATCAATGCCCCGCAAAATAACACATGAATTTAGAAAACAAATTCGTCGTATTATATATTGACTCGACAACAAAAATAAACAGTAATAATGAAGCCTCAGAAGGGAAGCAGTCCAGCCATTTTCTAGCTGTATGTGTATTATATTTAGTAAATTAATAAGTTTTCAAGTTCAAGTATGTTATCGGCAGCGAGCAAGGTTATAGGGTAGTTAAAGATTGTTAAAACATTTTATGTTTGTGTAATAACATTATTCACATGAAGTAGATGATTTGTTTGATTTGTCGATCAGCTGTTTAGTTTCAAATGAATTAATAATGTCAAATATTTGTGATTTAAATACATAAATTATTATTGTAAAGTTTTCTAAATCATGGTAACTTATTCTCCACTAAATTTTACTATTCCCAGCATTAAAATAAAGTAGTAAGATCTATTATGGGTAAACTTTAAGTTACACAATCCTTGATTGAAATGTAGTAGGTATACATTAAGAGTCATAATACACAGCAATCATTATGTAGTAGACTTTGACTATTTTCAAGTAACAAACATATGTTTCTGTAAATAAAAATTATCTCCATGTTATCCTTATGGAGAAATATGAAACTTTAAAGGGCTCCAGGGCCTCAATCTCTCATTATTTCCCTAAAAAGAAAGTTTCCTGCACAACTTCACGTTACCCTCTTTCCAATGACACCAAAAACATGTCAATCGGGTAAGTAGTTTCGGAGGAGTAATTGTCACAAAAAACCTGTTTGCGTATTAAATAAGTATATATAGATATAGATGGTGATTGATATAAGTGTGCCAGCGGTTTTATTCGAAAACTATAAGAGATATAAAAAAAAGTTAAATAATAAGTGCCTTGGATTTTTTATTAAAAAAATTATAGTCCAGTCAAAAAAATATTTTAGCCACCATTTTTCCAATATGGCCGCCAACTTTGATTTTTCTTATAGAACACCCTGTATTTTATGATGTATTCTGGTAGAAAAAGTTATTTTAAGACGATTTTATTCTTGTAATTTTTTTCATAAACCTAACCGTTTCAAAGATAATAATGGTTAAAGTTGTGAAATTTTGAATGGTTTTGGAGCAAAACAGCTGGCATCGAAACTCTTTCTCATGCAGAAATTTCAAAACTTTAACCATTATTATCTTTAAAACGGTAAGGTTTATGAAAAAAATCACAAGTATAAAATCGTCTTAAAATTACCTTTTCTACCAGAATACATCATAAAATACAGGGTGTTCTGTAAGAAAAATCAAAGTTGGCAGCCATATTGGAAAAATGGCGGCTAAAATAAATTTTTTGACTTTGACTACAATTTTTTAAATAAAAAATCCAAGGCACTTACCATTTAACTTTTTTTGATATCTCTTATAGTTTTTGAATAAAACGGCTGGCACACATATATCAATCACCCTGTATAGATTAACCATTAATATTATAGCATGTTTAGCCTCTGGATCACGTAATTTACTAATAAAAAGGTTAAATACCTGTAGTACTGTCAGTGATCCTGGAATTTAGGTCAGCGACCCAGGTTTCGAACCTAAAGGTTCATTTTCAAGCAGGTACCAGTTAAAAACACATAATCCTCTTCATAACTGTGGAGAGTCGTTATAACACGTAAGACACGAACACGAAAACACTAAACATTAAACAAAATTGGCCAATTATAATACTGGTACGGTAGCGTGCGTGGTGTAGCCGGTCATGACTCATCTTTTGCCGGCTACACCACGCACGCTACCGTACCAGTATTATAATTGGCCAATTTTGTTTAATGTTTAGTGTTTTCGTGTTCGTGTCTTACGTGTTATAACGACTCTCCACAGTTATGAAGAGGATTATGTGTTTTTAACTGGTACCTGCTTGAAAATGAACCTTTAGGTTCGAAACCTGGGTCGCTGACCTAAATTCCAGGATCACTGACAGTACTACAGGTATTTAACCTTTTTATTAATATTATGATTATCAACCAATTATGTCCTTATGTTTTTGTATCTAGTTATACACACTTTATCAATGTTTCTTACAATGATAACTCTACCAAGTTAATACACAGATGCAAAAGATTGTAAACATAAAAAAAAATATGTTAGTATTTTCAACTTATATGGCCTAGGGTGTTTAATAAACAAGACATCTTGGATCACTTGCAATGGAATTGGATAACCAGTTACTTACAAAATACCTCGGTGATCATTCCAATAACGATTGTCTTGCCAAAATACTTGTTATTGTCTTTTGTACTTGTCTCAAGCGTTTCTGCAAGCTTTTTCCACCTTATTTCCTCCATTATTTTATTTAAATTCTCTTGCTTCGTCGCAGGTTTCTTGAATCCTAACGAATCCTTCAATAACATTACATCTTTGGCTTTTTCAGCGGATTTTCTAGTCTCTGTCGACGGATTCCATACCGGTACTTCTTCCCTGTCTTTTTGCTTGAACTCTATGCAGTTCGTCTTCCACCCCCTCCCTTCGAGGACTACGTTGCTTGGACCAACCATAAAACTGTAAAAGAATTTTCGCATTGACATAAAAAATGGGTATTAGTCTAGTTAAAATTGTGCATTAAAATTACTTTAAAAATTAAAATAATTTTAAAAGAACGACATATTGTTTGTATATATTCTTTAAGTGTTCAATCGTAATTAGAGTTACATGTGTAGCAAAAGATAGTAGAGTTTTTGTTTGGTGCAAATTTCAAGAGTTAGGCTCTTTGTGTTTGGATGGAATACTTGTAAATGCAAAAAAAAGCAGGTTGGCGAATGATCAGCAATAAATTCCAAGGTCATAGTAAAAGAGCTAAACTTTTTTGTTAACTACTCACTCTTCTGTTGTTTAGAATGTTCAATGTGTAAACACTAATAATTACTTGCATTTGGAGAAATTGGATCAATAAGAACTATGAAACCATGGGGTCTGTTTATAACACTAGACGTCCATGCTAAACTGTGGGGGCTTTGTGAGGGCTGAGACAATGTATTTACTAAGGTGGGTGGATGAAGATTTCGTAAAAAAGGTAGGAAAACGTTTCAGCCCAATTCATGAAAACATTTTTGACAAATTAAGACGAAATACAGGACTAAAGGAAGATTTCGCAGTCAGCAGATAGCTTATACCTTTTTAAGTATAAATAGCCATGGAAATAAAATACTAATTCTTTACTAGAGTATTCTTGGGTGTCTACAGATGTTTTCTCGTTCTCAAGATAAACAATTATTGGACGTTAGGACAATCATGGAATGTGTTTACCTTACTTGAACGGCACATCTTGATGTTCATTGAAATGAAAATATTCCTGATATCTTTTCATAAGAATGGCGCAGTCTTCTAGGGCTACGCATGGCCTAGTGCAAGTAGTTGAAATAACCACATATTTTGCCGGGAGTTCCACTTCAGTTATAACCTCATCCTCAAAGTCCGTCCTTAAAGGTAGACCTCCCCATTGCTCTTTCGTTAGAACCTTTAAGAACCTAGACATTGTAAGGACCTAGAAAACACGAATCAAATTAACTATGGCAACAAACATTTATGACTTGGGTGTACTAGTATTCGGGGTTAAATATCATATTTTAAAAACTTAGTCCGTCTTACCAAATAATTGTTGTAAAAACCTAAGTTAAGTGCATTATTGTAACATTGGCTTATTATGAAAATAGTTATTTTTAATAAAGTATCAGTCATTATAATTATAACATACGTTTGAATAGTTCCTTTTATATATTAAGGAAACATAATTGTTTTTCCTAAAATATGTCTCAATAGATGAAAGTGAAAGGTATGAAAACAACTGTCTTTCAATTTTGAAGACAGCCTCATTAAATAGATACATAGGTTTTACAGATGAAGTTAAAACTATTTTGACGTGATAGTGCTAAAAATATTCTAAATATGAAACTAGTAAATATAAAAACACATTTTACCTTTACCTTATTTTAATGCTGTTACCTTTTTATAGTTTGCTCCAACATAGAATTATTTGTGACAACATTTTGAGTACAAGTTAAGAGAAAGACAACCTAATGAAAATACTGGTAACTGGCTCTTTAATTAGATTAATAAAATACAGCATTCACTGAACCCCAAAAATAAGTAAAGTGTATGAAGTGTAATGGGAACTAGAATAATACTGATAGTGTAGTACTAATGAGGTGGTGTAAATGTAACGAAGGAGCTACATTATCATGTTTCATGGTGCTTAAAGTTGATTTATTATCTGATATCAAATATCAGTAACGCTTCAAAGTAATGTTACACTTTGTTAAAGATCATCAGGTTTTGGTTTAAATTCATATATTCATTCAACAGGGGAACTAGTTGTTTAACGTTTTGCGAAATTATTACGTACACAGTTCTAATGGCATTTTGTATTGTTTTATAGGATGATAACAGATAAATTGAATATAGTTCCACACTGAAAATCTGTTTTATTATTCGATCGTTATGAACAACCATTTACATTTAAATTGTAACTATTCCCTTTTTAACGTTAAATACGTAGAAAGTAGGTAGACAATTTTGAAATAATTTATATGCATATGAAAAAAATGTTAAGTTATGTTCAAATGGTAATTCAACATTTAAGGTAATGTCCCATTAAAGTGCATTCCTACAATCGTGTAACCAGAGCAGGTCTAGGAAACACAGCACGTTTCGCCCATTTATTTGTCATATATCAAGTGCCGGAAGTTTTGACATCTAACCGTTCAGCTACTAAACATGCACAGCTTTAGTTTCAAACGTGACTTGTTTTGTCGTATATTTTGTAATCAGTTACTTTGCATAAACTATTTATAACATTAATTTAGCTATACGATATATTTACGGGTAAATTAATCACTAATGTTGAATGTTCCCTTAGAAGAATGTATAATCTTTGATTTCCCCATTGTAAATAATATGTTTGAAACTTAATCCAAGAACTATATTTAATATCAGCAATACTAGTGGGTGGCATAGTTAACCACAAAAACTTTAGTTAAATAACTGGTTCAAACTATTCAAACAGAATTTTATCTGTTAAAAGAATAATAATTTGTATTAAGTTTAGTTGCACTATTTTTGAGATTATGTAGGCCTATTCTAGAATCAAAGCTTTAACAATGTAGAGCTGATTTTGATTTGACACAATTTTTAGTTAAGAATTTTGTAAAAGAATAATAAGGAAAATAACGTGTTTTTTTTTTATTAGTTGATTACCTACAAAGCCAAATTGTCTTAGTTTCTTAATTATACTTATTTTACTTTCAACACCTACTTTGCAAATCAGCCAAATAGAATATTAATGAGATCTCTTCACTTTTGTACCTTACTAACTTTGCGTAACTTGATTTAAATTTATTCCTGTCAACTTTGTATAAATGTCTTTTTCAAACTTTTTGGTATTGTTATTACAAATTACAAGTACTGAATCACCAGTAAAGTGCAAAAATAAAATTCAAAGATGTTTAACTGAGGTTTTATAGTAACATACTAACAGGTACTAGTCACTAAGTAATTACAACAAAAACGTATGTTTTTTTTTTAATTTTAATAATACAGGGTGAACACAAAAGAAGTGAACAACTTTAATGAAAGATTACAGGAAAGTTATACTACATAGGAGAAAGTGAAATACACCATTAGAAAGCTAAGATTCTCAAGTTTTTTCCTATATATTACAAGTGCTCAATATGAGATCCTCGGTTTATTTTACACACATCTATTCTAAAACTAAATTCTGCCCAAACTTTTTCAAGAATGGTCTGATTGATACTTTGTACTGCAGTAGTAATGCGATTTCGGAGCTCCTTAAGGATCGAGGAACAAAAACTTTGTCTTTCACATACCCCACAAAAAAAGTCACAAGTGGACACTGGTGGCAGACTGAGTTATCTCTAATTCTAACACACAAAAAGACTTTTCTGAGAGCGTATTGACCATTTTCAAACAAATCAATAAATAACATCTTTTGTCTCATGTTTGGTATTGTTGACAGCAATCAGCTGTTTGAGACAAAACTTAAGGTGTTTTCCGACTCACTGGTACCAACCGCAGCGATGTCGGACCCGTAGTTTTCGATAAATTGATGTTCAAAGTTGTTCACTTCTTTTATGTTCACCCTGTATTTTAATCTGCGTTTTCCAGAGATGTAAATTTTTTACAACTATGACAAATTTCTAAATATTAAAAAGTAATATCCCGAGTCTAATAGGCAGTTGTTCCTGCAGCCAAGTGTCACGAAATCCACAATCAGTAAGAGACTTCGATTTTAAGTTTCAACGTGATCAATGTAGTGGTAAATAGCGCATTGTGTTTCTAAAGACATAACATATTATACCATAGTATTTAAATAATGTCGCTTATTTTAGAAGAACGAGACATAAAAGAAGTTAAAAGGCAAACTTCCTACATTTACCGGGGAATCACCCGTTTTTCGCGCATCAACGTGAAAACCATGTAAAATCACTCAACTGGCGACACATCGGGAGTATTGCAGTAAAAATCAATTGTTTAAATTTATTAGTAACAGCAAATTGACAATGAAACCCAATTAAAAAGGGAACTTTGCATAACAGTTTACACGCATAACAGTACGTAATACGTAAGTTATATACATAACTAGCAGTACACACAAACTATTACTAAGAATATCAATTGTATCGGTTTTACAGCTCACAAAGCTTAACACTGTAACCCAATTATAAAGTCAAATGTTTTTAGAACGGGTTTAACATAGCCTGGTCGAATGTTTGAATAAGTTAATTTTAAAATTATTGTTCGTGTACTATCCATGTCAAGATAGAACGTAAAGCAGATTAGAAAACATCGGTTTGGACAGCATATCGGAGGTTCACTCAGCCGACCATTGAGGCTTACGCTGTCATGTTGGGTTTTTGAGAGAAAACGATTTTCTGTATCCAAATTTCTGCCTTGCTGCATTATTTTTACACGTTTCAGAATTTATTCATAAAACTTGTTGGAATGTTTTTCAGTTCTTTGATAATTTTTCGAATACATTTCATGACTTTTTATGAATTACGTTTTTTTTGTGATTTGGGTCATTCTTTTTTTTATTCAATTTGAGAATAGGATACAGTTAAAGATAAAACTTCACAGTATAATATAAAACTAGACTGTCTTGGGAGGGATTCAAATTGAGTTCCATATCTTATCATCAAATTAGTTAATTACTCAAAGTATTATTAAATGTACTTTTGATCACAGGTCTAACAAATTATTGCGTTTTGTTGGTTTAAATAACTATGAATCGCATTTTAGTTAGGCGTAAAAGTTAGGTAATGATATTATGTAAACATTAAACAAAGTAGTTTTGTGCAAAATTAAAATAATAAACTTTTGTTGTACTATTACGTTTATAGCTAATATTTTCATCAACTTTTTATAGTTACAAAACGAATAATAAATTCACTTTTAATGTCTAGCAGTGTAGCTTTATATAAATTAACAAAAAATCACGTTTTCAAAGTATGTGTATTAAATTCGAAGCATACACCATTCATCTTTAAGCTTTTGGTAAAAGGCCTATGTGTCGAACTAGTATGGTTTTTAGGAATGAAACGGGATTAAAGCTTGATAAAAAATAAAAACATATTACTTATAATTATTCCATATGTTACCATAATCGATAGTAATTAGGTCCACTGAGTATTTACCCAGATTTTTGGTTTATAATAAGATTATTCATTGGTTAAACTATGATAACAATACTTAATCCTATTATAAACCAGCTTACTATCCTTATGTGTACATAGAGCTACTTAAGGCTAGCTACCCAGTATCCATATGTCCTTTAAACACTTGCTTCCACTAAAAGCACGTACTATCCATTTATTACTTTGGCATTCAGCTTGGGAGATTCTAAGAGCTTTTAGTTGTGCAAAGTGTTAGTTTAGACTGTTTATGTTTGGACACATTGTAGTCCTCCATACCTTAACTACTTCTTTTATGTACCAAGTTTAATGAAATTGAAAATAACCTAACCTAACCTAGCCTAGACAAATTATTCCCACTGAGTACATTGTTTAAGATCTTATTTAGGCTTACCAATCACTTCAACTACTATGTCAATGCTGTGTTGAGCCATTTAAGTGCCAAAACACTTAGTTTAATACAATATCTTCTGCTCAATAATGAGAATTTTTAGATGTTATTATAAAACAGTTGCCATTTACTTGGACCATCGCCAAAGGCCAAGTAAGTTAAGTAAGTAGGTTTGGATAGCCAAGGTATACCGTTGTTTAAACCCCTCGCTATAAAATGTCCTCGTTATTGCCCATTTGAAGCTGTGAAATGTTACCTTCAACACTTTGTTTTGGACTAATCGACAACTTGAGTAGAAACTTGGTTTTGTTAAACAAACCAAGTTGACGTATTAAGAACCATAAATAGCCATAGGAATTTATCTTTCACATATAATAACTGGCACGATTTATTTCAAATTAAATTATATAATTTAGGTTTCTTAGGTATCCAATGACTTTATATAGGACAGGTGAATTATATAAGTTAAGCAACACATTTATCAAACTATAAGGTAAAGTGTTGCGCAAATGTTCTCATGTATTGTTCTAAACATTTACAAATACAGTTTGTTTTGTTTATTGGTAGTATTTTTAATGAAAAATATACGCATTCAGATGTATAATAATAAATTTTGCCGTGTACTAATGGTCCATAAATACTTAGTATGCGTTTGATTACTAAATATTGACATTTAATAAATATACGTTTATTCTTTATAAAAATTGAAAAAAAAACAACTCTGAACCTATGAAAAATAGTTGTCAAATAAAATATGTATTTCGTTCCAATGATTAATTATTACGTTCGGTTGAATCCATGTATCCAAACTTTTAATGCAATTGTAACATATATATTAGATTTTTATTTCAATAAATAGTGATCACTAACACTGTCAAAATCATTCTAAAAATTTATAATCAGCTTATTCGATACATTGTTCCAATGTAGTAGGGATGAAAGACTTGTTTTACTTTCTCCTTTT